CAGTCCCAGATCCATATTGCAAGAAATTTCTCAAACATTTTTGCCTTTGCATAAAAAAAGTCCCTAGTTATGGCCATTATGATTGTTAAAAACCTTCCCAACCAAAGTCATACCTTGGACCACACTAACTAGGACAATGCGCCTGAAATTCTTCCTTCTGATATTATTAATACTTACTTTGCCATATCAACTGTTCCAATTTGGAATCTGCTAATCTAACCCCTTTGATCATAAATTCTATCCTTTTGATCTCTTTTTTTTTTTTTTTTTTTTTTTGAATAATAAAAAAAAAACTAATAAAAAGCTTACATCATCAATTTCAATAGAAATGTGTCACCTTCAGCACGCTATATAGATGTTATTATAGCCTTTAATTTGCTCTTGGAATCTCAGGGTATAATATTACTCAACTCTGTTATTTCAACTATATCAGTTGTTATTACATTGCCTAACATATTCAAATCAATCAAAAAAGCGAAACCACAAAGCGAACCCGGCATGCATGATTGCAGTTAATAATGAGCTTTTCATATGACAAAGTATATCTATCATAAAATGAGGAATTATTTCATATTGTAAAGTTGATGTATGTCTGACCTAACCAATGACTTCAGTGATCATAGATTAGTCATATTACAGAGCCATTTCACATCATAAACAAAATAACATGCAAAATGTACATTCTTTCTCATATTTTTTATCTTGAAATTTACTAGTTGTCCCATAGCTTGTGTTGGAAAGTTGTTTTTAGTATGGTACTGTAAACTGTAGCTGTATTGCGAGTCTGTTAGCTCAAGATCTTATGCTTATGACATTTTTCATTTAAAAGAAACAGCTATGCAATAGCAATTGGGCAATTCTACAAGGTCAAAAAAAGGTTATTCAATAATAACATCTGAATTATAACTGTTGTTCTCTTATTACCTGCTTTACTACTTCATGTCTTTCAGGTAAATACATGTAGAAGATGGAACTGTGTTGTGTTATTTATTTTAATTTGTTTGTTTGTTTATATTTTCAGGTAAATACATGTAAAACATGGAACTGTGTTGTGTTATTTATTTTAATTTGTTTGTTTGTTTATATTTTCAGGTAAATACATGTAGAAGATGGAACTGTGTTGTGTTATTTATTTTAATTTGTTTGTTTGTTTATATTTTCAGGTAAATACATGTAGAAGATGGAACTGTGTTGTGTTATTTATTTTAATTTGTTTGTTTGTTTATATTTTCAGGTAAATACATGTAGAAGATGGAACAGTGTAGAATCAGAAGCCTGGACACAAAATTTATAACTTTATGTTAAAATGAACATTTATCAAATGTAAATTTAGAAGGAGTATTAAGATATTCACCTCAGGTAGAAAAGATGGCGGGATGGACAAGCTTGTCAGGTTACCTCCATTATAAACCTGGCTCTAGTGGCAGTAGTAGCTTCAGTAAGTATGCACTGTGTATTCATATATATATAATTTATTTTTCCAAGCTGCCATTGTGAAGTGAGTGCTTGATATTTAAGCTATTATTTATGAAAATATTGGAGCCTTATACCTTTTGCAAGACATATAGAAATAGCACAAAATATGTAGATATACTATTTCTGACATTTATTAACTCAACGTTATCAATATGAAGGAGAAAGAAAAGACTTCCTTTAAAGTAACCTTCCTTAGGTATGAGAGACTCGACCAGTTTCATTCTGGTTGAACACTTAGGCAACTCCATGCTGAGCTGACATTAGGCTCAACAGACCCACACCAGTAAGCAAACATTTCAACAAACCTGCCCATTGGATGGCCTGGATTTTTCCTGGTTCAAAGAACTACATTGAATCCACAAGCTCAAATCTATGACTTCGCTAGGTATCAACAAATTCATCATTCTCTGTACCGTCACTGGCCAATTTGATTTTACTATCTATTGTGGCCTTCTTTGTCTACCTGCTTTCAAATGCCTATTATTCACATTATTAAAACCTATATTGTCCTATCCTTCATCCCTCATACTGTTACTTTGTGTTAGATGGTGATGAGTCTCATAAAAGCACTGGCCTAGGTCACCTTTGTATATTTGTGTTAATATACAGGATAAACTTCAGTTTTGATTTTGATGAAACTTGATATCATATCATAGATATATTGGCGAGAACTTGGATCAATTAACCATTTTTATATCAAAAAAGACCTGGATGTCAAAATGGTCTTGCAAGTTTGATAGAGACCATAATGTAATTAGATTTTTCACAAAAAGATCGTTGATCGTTGATAAATTTGATTGCCAAAATTTCCCGAATGAAAGTTGTTTTTGAATTATTGCCCCTGATGGAAGTTTGTGAACATGATAGAGATAACAGTTTTGAGTAGATTTTCAATAAACATTCTCTACTTATGTAAATTGGTGACATCTGATATGATTTCTTGATTATTTTATAAATGATTTTTTTCATTATTGCCATCAACTGAATGTAAAAACTTAAAGTGATACTACGTAAAATATAAGTCTCAAGAGTGATCAACGTTGGTAAAATTAACCAAGATTATATTCAATTGTTAATTAATTATATCGATCTATAGATATACAATGGCCATCAAAACAAAATAGCTCTGTTGGATCCCATGCTGATCCCATACTCTAGTAGTGAGAATTACACTAAAACTATGAAAATACATCGGCATTGTCCGTCTGTACAGGTGATCTGGTCAATTCAAGATGCCCCATATAACATAACATTCAGTATAAATGAGAATGAACAACTATGACACTTGAATGAGTTGATAAGGTATAAATGAATTATTACAATTAGGACTTCTACGATGGCTGCTTTTCTATAATATTCCACTATCATAATACTCTTTTAAGAGATCACCTACATTAAGAGACCATTTTGGATTATTCCCATGAGTGGTCTTTCAATACAGTTCCTACTGTACCATGAATATGGATATTATTTCAATAATAAAGATTCCAAGAAATTTGCTAATGAATTCATATTAAGCCTGTTAGGTGACCCCTTGTTAATTTGTTTCATTATTTCAATATGATAAAGTAGCCTTTCAACCATTTTTACTACATATAGATACTCCTTTAATGTATTTATTGAAAAGATGAAAGGAAACACCTGTCAGTAAATTGAACACCTAATGCTTATTAGATATTATTTAATTTATTTCCCACTTATTGATTTTATTGTTGTTTTTTTATTCTAGGTTAACTTTTATCAATTTTCATAGATCTGACATAGCATTCTAGGACGATACCAGAATCAAGTCGATTAGTAAAAGATTATCGATCGCCTGACAAAAAAGGCCAAATTTAATAGTCAGGGTAAACAGTAGGCCAAAAATATTTAACATTTCTTATGTGGTTGATTCATACAGGCATAAAAAATTTCGTTGCACAAGATTGAATTTTTTAAGCTATTTCGATAAAATATACTTGATTGCCCAACATAAATAAAAAATTTGAAGACTATTTCTTCCAATTTTGACAAGTTAAGGATAAATTTTTAATGTTACTATTTCTCCATGCTAAAATTAGTACTATACTATTTCCTACAGACAGTGTGTCCCAACTTATACTAAGATAGTATTATTCAATTAATAGACACGCCTAATGAATCATGTCATTTTGATTGGATGGACATAGAAAGTTGTTAACTAGTCGTTTAGTATACTAGAAGAGGTTGTGCTGAACAAAGGTACTTTATTAGAGAAAGCGAGTTGATGCTGCTGAAAAAATTCTATCTACATTCAGAGCGAGTGTTAAACAGTTGCGAATTGGACAGATTGTCACCGGACATATGCTCCAGGGACATGACACAAGACATGCTCACTAGACATGCTCACTGGACAGATGCTCACAAGACATGCTCACTGGACAGATTCTCACCAGACATGCTCAGTGGACAGATGCTTACAAGACATGCTCACAAGACATGCTCACTGGACAGATGCTCACCAGACAAATGCTCACTGGACAGATTCTCACCAGACATGCTCACTGGACAGATGCTCACCAGACAGATGCTCACTTGACAAATGCTCCCCGGACAGTTGATCACCAAAGAAATAGGACAAATTGAAATCCTATAATCTTTATCTGCTCATATTCATCAAGATCTATTGCTCCTTTTCACAAATGATGGCTTATTGGATTGAATCAGTGCATGCTTTGTTAAGTTTCACAAATAAAACATGTGCAAGTCAACTAATAAACCTTTACAATAAGTGTTATACTATCTTTGAAATATTTAGCCACCTTTCCTTAACCTGTAAAATATCACCATATCATAATAGTATTTACCTATCTTATGACCTAATTATTTTTCAAAATGCAGACTCAACTAGCCTTAGGACTGATAATCGATAAACACAAATTTTTGTTTTTTATATGTGGAACATATCATCATAACGTCACCCATGTCCTTTGGTGGTCAATCTCTAGAAGGCACAATTCTTGATGGATTAGGAAGAAACTTGGTGAAATTCTTTGTTTTCACCCAAGGATACTTCCTTTTGAAAATCCAAAAAAATTAAAAAGACTTTGATATGAGTTATTGCCAGATGGATTTAGACAAAACGTGGTGAAATTGTTTTTTATCACCGATGGATGTACCTAATTGAAAACCCAAGTGAAAAAAAAATGTTATAGAGAACTGATTCAATTTTGAAAAATTCATCAATCTTGTTAAATATCCCCCCAAAAAGCTTTGAAGAAGGTTTTTCTGAATATTTCATTCTGGTGATTGTAACTGTACAGCCAAAGTTTCTTATCTAAAACCAAAGTTGCCCTGGCAAGCTATCTTTTCACGTGCAGTAACTACGTAGAGTTGATGTTTATTTAAATGAATAGCCAGAATGATTAAGGGTAATTTTACATAAGTATTCAATTTCCATTAAAAAGCATGCAGATATCAGTGTTTTCTAATAGTTGCCATCCAGAACCTTGTATCTCCAAATAAAGATCCTTGTATCTCCGAATAAAGATCCTTGTATCTCCGAATTAAGAACCTTGTATCTCCGAATAAAGATCCTTGTATCTCTGAATAAAGAACCTTGTATCTCTGAATAAAGAACCTTGTATCTCTGAATAAAGAACCTTGTATCTCTGAATAAAGAACCTTGTATCTCTGAATAAAGAACCTTGTATCTCAGCATAAAGAACCTTGGATCTCCGAATAAAGATCCTTGGATCTCCGAATAAAGAACCTTGTATCTCTGAATAAAGATCCTTGTATCTCCAAATAAAGAATCTTGTATCTCCGAAAAAAGAAACTTGTACCTCAGGATAAACAACCTTGTATCTCATGATAAACAGCCTTGTATCTCAGGAAAAAGAACATTGTATCTCAGGATAAAGAACCTGCCTAAAGTTAACAAGATATTACTTAAAACAAAAATATTGTAAAATTTTTAAATCAAAAATTGTAATTGAATTTCCTATTCTCTAGCTAGTAGAATCAGATATCTCCCCTCAAATTTAATGATTTCAGTTTGATGTATGAAAATCTATTGTGATTGTAAGCTATATGGCAGTGCTTCTCAACCTCAGTGAAATCATTCCTCCCCAGAAGAGTTTTTCCAAATCTATTCTTCTAAATCTATTCCTCCCCAAAATATATTAGTCATTTTGAAAAGCATTTCACTCGAAAAATGTATTCAACGATTACCCATGAATGGATATAAAATCATACTCCACATATCTAGATAGTTCAATGTGACACTTGGCCTGAATGTTGGTTCACAAATTTCTGTATGTCTAGGGTGAATGATGTCTATTTCAGTCATAGATCACCTTGCCTTCCCATTTCCTTCCTGGCATTAATTCTTCCCTGTGTTCCACCAATTTCCCCAAAATTTCTCCTCTGTTGAGAAGCACTGCTATAAGGTATGATTAATTGTTAATAGATTGTTGGATTATTAAAGTTTAGAAATCAATAGTGAATCTTGTATTGTTTTTTACTAGCACTTGGAAGATTAAAAGCTAAGAAGAGGATGTGGTTTGTACTAGAAGAGAGCCAGTGTCAGTTACTATTTTTTAAAAATGAAGAAGATGCTGGGAGAAAACCACCTCAAGGACTTGTCAATCTGAAGGGGTCAGCCATTACATTAGACCTGGATAATCAAAATCAATTCATCATCATGTAAGTCTTTTGTATATTTTGAGATAGGCTTTGTTCTAACTTTCAGAGTCCTAGCCCCTCTTGGTTTAGAGAGGTGAAGTAACAAAAATTCATACAAGCAAGACAAGTCCCTCAATCAAAATCCTGTCCAAAGAATGACCAAATTGAGAAATGAAATGAATGGAGTTTTACGTCCTATCTTTCTGCACCATGTGGGCTAATGAAGACGGGCAGCGCCATGAGGGAAATTTTGCCAGGACAGCGGCATTAGCCTGCTCTTTTTCGATTTCCAACTGTCGAGGGATTTTTAACGTGCTCAGCCTGTATCACACGGGGTCTCAGTTTATTGTCCCATCCAAAGGACTAGACGCTTTTTCCATATCAGCCAAATCAAGAGTAAAAGTTGTATTTTAGTTAACTCCATCAAAGATAAGTATCATAAGGATCACTAATGTTTAAATAAAAGCATTCTATATGTTTTTATATGTTAAGTTTCTATAAATATACAGTATAGAAATGAATATATGTATGAGTTTTATAATGATAATTAGTTAACCTTTTACCATTATTGATAACACATAGATTATAACATGTAATTATTCATCTTATTACAGTGTAGATGGAAAAGATCACATACTAACAGCAGAAAATCATGAGTCTATGATGATCTGGCTCATGGCGCTTCAGGTATTATTTTATTTTGAAGCAGGGGTTTTCAACCTGAGGGTATAATTTTGAAACTTTTGGGGGTAATGAGGCATTTTGTAGTCTAGCATATGTCTGGACAATTATGATTTAAGCTATATTCTCCAACATGAAAGCAATTGCATGGAAAAATGAAGAGAAAATCACTCTAAAGTGTAAGGATTTATAGGGGGAAGGGGGGAAATGCAATCAATCAAGGATCCCGAAAGATGTAATACACAGAAAAATGTTGAAAACCCCCTGTTTTAGGGATTAATTTATCTATATGATTCTCCGTTAAATATTCAAATAGTTTTATAGAAGAATGCAGTGGAATAATTGAACAATGTTTGGCAATAAGGCAGTTTAATTAAAATTAGACCAAACTTTGGTTCTGTCTTTTATTAATGTTTTTATTTCAGTTAGGATCTAAAGACCAATCTCTTGAACATTAGTCAGTTTGATAATATGACCAGCCAATCAAATTCCTGCCCTCTACATCGCTGGGATTTTGTGATGCGAAAAGGTGCATTTTGTGTCTAATGCTTCTTGGATTTAAACACCTTTTGTTCTCAAAATCCCAGCGCCAGGGAGGACAGATATTTGATTGGCTAGTCATATTAACAAACTGAGGAATGTTCAAGAGGCCTGTCTTTAGACCCTAACTGAAGTGGCTTTATTAATAATAAAAGCTACTAAAAAGATGGAATGAGAGTTTGGTCTAATTTTGATAAGACTGAGAAATAAGTATCATTGCCAGGCACAAACAGGCACAATAAAGTGATGTTTCAGGATACAAAATGCGAAAAATAAGTTGAAATACCTAAATTGGTATTTTATCTTTTTTTTCATAATTTATTCATCATCCCTATGTAATGTTTCCTACTTGTATTAATGTTACGATTCCTTATGATAATTCTGAAAAGCTGTTGATATTGATTTGATAAATGTATGTATTAAATAGAAAACTTTAGATATATTTAATATGATTCAATATTATATATATCAGTGGATTTTTATAATCTTAGGCCAAACGAGATCATTTCTCCAAAAGAGCTGCTGATATGGATGAGACATTAGAGGCTGAAGATTTTGATGATAAAAGAGTGCGGGTAAGTTTTTAACACTAAGTAAACTCAACATAAAGTGATAAGTAAATAGTTGAATTATATAATATAAAAAAAACAAGTAGATCTTTAAAGGGACAGGTGTGCTATTCTTTTTGTCCAATCATACTTTGGTCTTAGAAATGGAAAGTTTGTAGCTAAGCCAATCAATAATAGTGTTCACAGCTCATCGTCTAATCCACGTGTGCCCTGAATTATCCGCGTTTAAATGGTAAAATGACGACTCTGTGATATATAGAAAAGACATCTATAGAAATAGTGAGTAAAATTCCTAGTTTGAGATATTTTTGAAGGAATAATGCTATTTTCGTACATTTCTATTATTTAAAGACTATTTACATATAATCCAGATTCAAGTCAATCCTCCAATATGGCGCAACTGTCCCTTTAACGTTTAATATTCATTACAGAGGGTTCATGTTTGCAATGTATTATATTTTATGTGTATTACCTGTACAATTTACAATTACAATTTGAGACTATTTGTTAAAATGCAACAAATGCACTTTTACAAATTGACACTTGCATTTTGTCATTTTGCAATGATATTAATATTGTCATCTAAACAAGTCTATATCAGTCTGTATTTTCATCATGGGAGCCACGGTGGCTCAGTGAGTTAGACGCTTGCTTGCTAACCTGAAGGTCCAGGGTTCAATTCCGGCATAGGTTGAGATAATACTTTCGGATTTTTCAACCCGGTTTTTCATGGAAAAAGCGTCTAGTGGTTCGTATCGGATAATAAACCGAAACCGTGTGTGCTACAGTTGGAAATCCAAAAAGAGCAGACTAATGCTGCTGTCCTGGCAAAATTTCCTTAGCCCACGTGGTTCAGAAAAGTAGGATGTAAAACTCCATTCATTTCATTTTGTATCATTATCAGTTACTGAGTAATATGCAATAATTCATTAAACTAAGTAATTTTAAAACATACTTAGAAACATTTTTCAATAATTATTAAGTTTATTGGATTAAAGTGTTATATTGAGATTCTATTCTTTAGTCATGGCACCTGGTAAGTCTAACTGATGAATATACACACTTGTTGACCACATTGAGACTTTTTATGTCCATTCTATAGTATTCATTTAACAAACCAAATTATTCCTTTAAATCTAAGATTTATACATTTGGAAATAAAAAAAATTGTCTTTTTATAGAGTTCTTCAGATTTATCAAAATCACACCAAATAATGAGGAGTCATAAAACCTTGTGTGCTACTAAATCATTACATTCCACTTTGGGAAGAACATTACCAACAGCCTTAACATGTGATGATGTCAGACAAGCTGATTGGAAACATTATCAACTGAGTCGACTGGGAGAGACTGTTGATGTCAGCAGAGTTCGAAAAGGTCAGTAATTTTTACACTTTTTTGGAGGTCATTATGTTTTTTTTTGGAAAATGGTTATACTATCCAATTGGGTACTTTTAGTTTAGCTTAAATATTGGAAAAGGATATTACTTTTAATTATGAGAACTCATGCAAATATAACTAATAAATAGTGCTAGATCAAAATAATCGATTATCGTCGCTAGGAATATATAATTTTGATTATCGATTATTGTTAACAAGTTGTAATCTCTTCCACATAGGTTCCCTTCAGCACATAACAAACCCACAATAAACTATAATAACCAATCAAAGCAAGAATATACTTCTATGACACAAAAATTACACATGAAATTCAGAATGTTTGTATGTTTCTAATTTACTATTTACAGGTTTCTCAATTGAATTATTTTAATTATTAATTGATTTTTGATCGGTAGGTAATCTGCCATCAATACCCAGCCCTATTATTGAAGCTAGCTAAAGAATGATAAAAATATATCTTAAAATGTTGGGTACCTTGTTGTATAGCTAAAGAATGATAAAAATATATCTTAAAATGTTGGGTACCTTGTTGTATAGCTAAAGAATAATAGAAATATATCTTAAAATGTTGGGTACCTTGTTGTATAGCTAAAGAATGATAGAAATATATCTTAAAATGTTGGGTACCTTGTTGTATAGCTAAAGAATGATAAAAATATATCTTAAAATGTTGGGTACCTTGTTGTATAGCTAAAGAATAATAGAAATATATCTTAAAATGTTGGGTACCTTGTTGTATAGCTAAAGAAATGTTTATGTGGATGGATGACAGAAAATCACCTTTCTAAAACTAAAGAGAACATATTAAAAGGGATAGGTACGCCATTTTTGGTGGTTGATTTGAGTCTTAATTATATGTAAATAGTCTTCAGAAGTACCAGAAATGTACGAAAATCGCATAATTCCTTCAAATATATCTCAAACTAGGAATTTCTTTACATTTTGATAGATGTCTTTTCTTTCTATGGCAGTGTCTAATTCTGGACACATATGGATTTCTCAAATTTTGACACAGAGCTGTGAACACTATTACAGATTGGCTAAGCAAAAAAAAACTCCTGTTTCTGAGACTAAGGTACGATTGTTAAAAAAATGGCACACCTGTCCCTTTAAAAGCAATTGTTAAGATGTTTTTTTCTAAATTGTTTGTGTATCAGGGACACTGATGGCATCAATTTGCACCATTCCAGTTTTCAATCATATGTCTGTGGTTCCTGCAATTCACTAAAATTAAGTGTTTGATGATGTCACTAATTTTAAAATATGCTTTTTATACGCCCATATGGAAATGTGGATGTATATTTACAATGATGAGATCTTGGTCAAGCTATATTGACAATCTTTCGATGAAAGGTTTTTTAGAGTTATGCCCTTGACTTAGGAAAAACTCGTCAAAATTTGTTTGTGAACACTTTAGAGGCTACAGTTTTCAATTGATTTTAATGAAACATGGTGTGATCATGTATATAGATGCGATAATTTGATGTATTTGGGTTATTGATATTGATTTTAAAAATTTTTTGGAATTACTCAGCATAAATAACTGGCATATATATATAATTGAATTCAAACTAATAAAATTTCTTAAATATGAGAAAATTCGTACTTTAGTTACTAAAGACTGTTTTATTATTTCTGACAGCTGCCTGCAGGCGTATGTTACCTTGCCTGGCAAGCTATCTTTTTTTATCACATAAGCTGATGCTATTAGTGTCCCCAATACACATAAAAAATTTAGAATACCTCTTTACAATCTCTTTATACATGTAGTAATATATATATCTTGAGGTATTTTGAGAGAGAGATATTGAGAAAAACAAGCTTTGGAACCATTGATTGACATTGACATGTGTAGGAAGTTGCTCACCAGACAAAAATTACTCACCAAAGAAATGAAAAATAGGACAAATGCTCACCACAAATTGTATAACATATTTCTTTTATATTCATTTTAAGAGCTATTGCTCTTTTTCACAAATGATAGCTTGGAGCAAAGAATCTATAGATCCAATTACCTTCATCACATACTTCGAGAAGGCAGCAATCTATGCATGTCTCCACCCACGGCTGCTCTGGCTCACAGTTACACATCCGAGGTACAACTCTTAACCAGAATTATTGGTGATCTAGCCTTCCTGCTACTTGACGAGGTTAAGGAGGAAATGGTATGCTTTCGCAAAAACACATAGGTTGAGTCTGGTTTGGATTATCTGTTGGCTCACACATATTATGTGATAAGATCATTAAAAATATGATAATCTCTTGAGCAACTGTCCGGTGATCAATTGTCTGGTGATCAATTGTCTGGTGATCAACTGTCCGGTGATCAATTGTCTGGTGATCAATTGTCTGGTGATCAACTGTCCGGTGATGAACTGTCTGGTGATCAGTTGTCCTGTGATCAAGGGTCTGGTGATCAATTGTCTGGTGATCAACTGTCCGGTGATCAAGAGTCTGGTGAGCAACTGTCTGGTGATCAATTGTCTGGTGATCAACTGTACCCCATATTATAAGGTTCTATTATCTTTCAAATTCTAGAGTCTGTTTCACAAAAACATAGTGTAAGATTATTACAGTGTTCTATTCATATGATATGTCAAAAATGATTTTAAATTTAGCATACCAACCAGATGTTTGTGTTAAATTAAATCTTTTTCTCAGTTCAAAACAGGCTCCAGACTATGAAAATTTATATGGTATCTATTTATAATGTAAATGTACTTGGAAGACATCAGACAAAATTATTCTTAAATGAAGATTAGGAATTGTCTCAATTTACAACAATCCAACATGTTGTTAAAAATAAAACAAAAAATCCACCATATCAGTCTTTCATAATTTCAATTACAAATTGTACCAAATAGCCAAAACCTTTCTTTGTATTATAGTTTTGTTGTTTAAAATTTCTGTATTATATGTTATGTGCCTTATAAAGGCAAAAGGTTGGCCATATTATCACCCTAATTAAGAATATATTACAAATATTATTATCAATACTTAACCAAGCAAATGGTGTGATATTTTCTACTGCTGTAACTGAAATTGTGCAAATCATGGGCGCAGATCACGGGGTTACATGTCCCCCCCACCCCCCTTCAGAAAACCTGGGGGGGACATGATATTCTGTTTCCCCCCCCACTAATTGTGAAGCTTGATTGAGTAGAATGTCTGTAATAGACGTAAAATAGGTACAATTTGGCATACGAGAACATCAAAAAGTGCCGAAATTTTGCGTCTGCGGCACACTATTCCAACAATTTATGGTTGAGAGACAGGAAGACCATTTGTTTGTTTTGGAACCCATCTCCACTCACAGACGCGGCGTTACAAGGGGCACACGTAGCGAATTTTATCGTATGTATATTTTCGTCGATCATATCATGTGATCTGTACAAATAGCGGAACGCCACTGAGAGGACTTGCCTTGACATTAAATTTGATTGGTTGAAAGGTATCGGTCGGCCTATTGAAGTTTTTAATTCAAAATTAATTTTCTCCTAGGTCGTGGGCATCCACTGGATGACTGGAAAATTCAGTTACATGCAAGAAGGTGCCTTTCTTTCTATAATATTTCTGAGAGCTATAAAGATACGGTGTCACCAGCTCAACTGAAACGTTCTCATGCCGCTATACTCTGCATTCGGTCCGACCCCCTTTGAATAAATCCTGCGTACGCCTATGGTCCCCCCCGCATTGAAAAAGTGATCTGCGCCCCTGGTGCAAATAGAAGCTGGTGCCTCAACATGTTCTTTTCTTGTAAATAAGGGTTTTCTTCTATCACACAGAAATGAAGTCAATTTTCCATATTATAAATTTAATTCACAATGTACTTTTGATTTAATTTTAACTCAAAATGGATTTTTTTCTATTACCCTTTTATGGGTAACCAAAATGTACAGAAAAACCTTGTGAAATTCTGATGTATTAGACCCTATGAATGAAATATGCTGCAGAGAACAAAAGCACAAACTTTGGAGTCTGTGCAAATAAATGGTTTCACAGCAGGTTACATTACAAGCAAAATATCTTAAAAAGCCAGATGCAAAATGCTAAAGATTACAGCCATAAGATTGGGCAATGTTTCTCATAAATATCCATGGAAAACTGTTTTGACTAAATGTTTTAAGTCACAGTCTAATTAAAATTAAACCAAACTTTGTTCTGTGTTTTTTCTTTGCTTTTATTTTTTATATAGCCACTTCAATTAGGGTCTAAAGATAGCCCTCTTAAACATTTGTCAAATTAACCTTTTGACTTTTGACCTTCAATGACGTCTGCTTTAACTAATCAAATTTCTACCATCTCAGCGCTGGCACTTTGTGACACTATGTTTATCAGTTTAGGTCAAAAGGGCTTTTGGTAGACCCTAATTGAAGTGGCTATATTAAAAAATAAAAGCAAGTAACAAAAATGGAAAGAAAGTTTGGTCTGATATTGATTAGATTGTTGTTAGTCAGGAAGTCAAATATTATTACAAAATAACTAAGGATATCACAGGAATGGCATGTTTTTTATAATTAATGCATGTGATGCTTTACAAGGTGTATATATAGTGCATGGGTAATGTTATTTGCACTTAGAATTTGATCTAATTTGCATATCCACCACTTAAATTTTGAATTTTCTTTGACACAATTTTCTTTTCCTTCTAGTTTCTTTTGAACGAACAGATCGTTCTCGCTCACTTCCACCAGTTTTTGAAGGTAAAATTTAGCCACAAGTTCTTAGATTTAATCATATCTTGCTTTATTTGATGTTTGAGATTGTGTTTTAAATAGAAATATGTTGTAGAAATGGCATTTCAGGGATGCAGAACTATTTAAAACTTTTTTTTAGATGGGCGTTATAACACAAAAATGATTGACCACATTAAAAAAGCCTTCAATTTCATTATTATTTTTGGTCGTTCTCTATTGTAATCTAAAAAGATTTATACCAAGGTCGCGTACTGTTGATTGTGGGATAGAGAAACCCAAAGTAGAGTGACTTGACCAATGAGATTATGAGACTGGCAATACTCGCTTGTAAAAGTGATTGACTGGTGAGTAGCGTGTGGTGGTTGTGCTATACAGATTTACAGGACTACGGAGCGAAGTGGAATGGTATGGAGCGAAGAAGAATAATGCAAAATACTACGAAACGAAGTGAAATAGTGCTGTAAATCTGTAAGCACTATTACTACTGCTATAAATAGCTTGAAAGGTCACCAGTGCATAACCTTGGTATAAATCTCATTGGATTACAATTGAGACAGACAAAAAACCAGTAACAACACAAAATCTGATCTACTTTTTTATTTTATCTTGTAAAAAAATCTAATCTAATTTTAATTTAATTGCTTTGTTTTAAAAAAATATTTTGACAGTTGAAATCCTGTCGTGTTTGCAGAATGTAGACTGCATACTGCTTTTCATTTGTATGTCCATTTGATAAGAATGCATAAATCAAAGAGTTCTCCTTTATCTTGAGATCATTATGAATTCTATACAAACCCTGTATGCTGTTTCTCTACATATTTCTGGATATACAAGATTCCTTACCTAAGTTTGTCCCTGAATGGTGTCCATAGTTCCCAAATTGTTCTTCTAAAGATATTATATTAGAAGTGATATTTAAGTTGTAGTAACAGACATTTAGCGTTTTGTTTTTGTTATTGATAGAATGGATAGCAGTAGATAATCATTTATTCAAGGATTAATTCCTCTAAATTTAAGATTTCAGAGTTTCTTCTGTGCTTATCCAAACATGTTTTCCTTTCTTGCCTTGTTAATGTGTAAAAGTTAAGATGATTGACAATTTGAAACAGGGGAAAATGACTAAGAAAAGTTGTCGTCATTCTAAAGCAGTGCTTCTCAACCTCAGTGAGATCATTCCTCCCAGTAGAGTTCTTCCAAATCTATTCCTCCCCAAAATAAATCAGTCATTTTACTCAAAAAACTATTAAAGATGGGTTTTCTTGTCAAATTAAGCAAACTATTTGATTGATTGTTGTTCCTTATGAATTATCATGTATTCTTAATCATATAAAAGTGTTCTTATTGCATATAATTAAGAGTTTTAACCAATCAGAAATATCTATGTATGTACAGTCTGGATAAACAAAAAGACTTTTTAACCTTTCTTGATCGGCCACTCATTGGAACTCAGGGAACCCATCTTTAACTTATTTATTACTATTATTGATTATTACTCTCCAAATAGTGAGGTAGTTCAATGTGACCCTTACCCCGAAACATCGTTCACGATTTTCTGTATATCGATTATCTTTAACGAACCAAGTTTCTTTGCGAGTCCATTGATCATTAACCATACTAAACCTGCACTCAACCAAATACGTGGTAGGAAATTGCAGCAGTAGATTCCTCCCCATTCCCCCCTGGTAATAATTCCTCCCAATGGTCTTCCAATTCCTCCCGTGTTGAGAAGCACTGTTTCTAAACCATAAACACAATTTGTACTATGTTACTGGAGTTTTAATATAACTATCTTTATTATATTTAAAAATTTCTCCAGTCCGTGGTTTTCCACCTTATGGATAATCACGATGGGAGCATGCAATTCAAAGGAAAAGGAGTCTGATTGGGTGATGACAGTCTGTCTTGCAGACGATAAAACTATGGGACACAATTATCAAACTTGTGTCAGCGACACAATAATCTTATCTTGGAAGCATGGGCACAGGCAAGATTTTACTTGCCGAATTCGAGCCGGAGAAAAAATTCCTTGTCCAAGACCACTCATGTGCCCGCACCTTAAGTAGGTTTCATTGTTACATTGAGTTTATAATTGCAGTAGACAAGTTAACATATTTTATACAAACATTTAAATTTAAATTACTATCTACATTTGATTGATTTTGATTGCTTAATAAGTTGTCATTACATCAATATTACTTTTTGCCATACAGACCCTGACTGTAGTGACTGCAGTGCAAACAGACTCAAACTTGATCAACAAGAGTATATATTCATCAGTTAGACTTACCAGGTGTCATGACTAAAGAATAGAATCTCTATATAATATGATATATCTATTAAACTAAATAATTATTAATACACGTTTCTAAGCATGTTTCAAAATTACTTAGTTTAATGAATTATTACTTAGTTTTATGGATTATTACTTAGTTTTGTGGATTATAGAGGGATTCTGTTGTATAGTTATGACACCAGGTAGGTCCGCTGATGAACAAATTTGATCCACTGATGAACTCATTTTGACCAAGTTCTAAATTTTCAATTTTTCGGTCATCATTTAGAGGTAGTATACCTTGAGGGGCAATATTCCTACCTTTGAATAGAAAGACCTATAAGGAACCATGATTTAGAAGAAAGACAGGAAACTGTTTTGGAAAGCTCAGAAGAAACACAACAAGATAAAAACAATTAAAAACTTGAGGAATAAATCCTTCAAACCCTACAATTTTTATCTTTTTTTTTAGTTTTGAAATTCAACACAGGTACTTTGTATTTATTATCTTTTCTGATACC